CCACCGGCACCTGGGGCAAGGTCAATGTGGCCGAGTGCGGTGCCGAGGCCCTGGCCAGGTAGGTCCAGCTCATGGGCACCTGCCCAGCTGCACCCGGGGCAGAGAAACTGATCACCAGAGCATTAGCGTGTCTGTGTCCGCTCGTGTCCATCTCTCCCCAGGCTGCTGATCGTCTACCCCTGGACCCAGAGGTTCTTCGCTAACTTCGGGAACCTCTCCAGCGCCACTGCTGTCACTGGCAACCCCATGGTCCGTGCCCATGGCAAGAAAGTGCTCACCTCCTTCGGGGACGCTGTGAAGAACCTGGACAACATTAAGTCAACCTTCGCCCAGCTGTCCGAGCTGCACTGCGACAAGCTGCACGTGGACCCCGAGAACTTCAGGGTGAGCCGTGCTCCTGACTTGGGTACTTGCCCACCCCACTCCATCTCTGTGGGGAGCTTCTCCCCTCGCCCTGAGCCTCACCATGTGAGGGATTTACTGTAGGCATGATGGAGCAGGAGGAAGGGGGGCTGGCTGGGGTGAGGGTGAGATGCAGGAGTGGGACAAAGAGGGAAGGGACCAGCCTGCAGCTTGGTTAGAAAGCACTGAAGGGGCTGAGAGGTGACAGCTATGGAGAGGCCGTCTGGAGGGTGCAGGTGAGGATGCATGGGATGGGAGAGCAGCAAGGAGATGGTTTCTGTGAGAGAAGAGAGCGGGGAGTGAAGCAAAAGCAGCTGTTGAGCAGGAAGAGCTTTGACCAAGGGGAAAGCGAAGGAGTGAGACTGAAGCTTGACACCCAGAAGAAGAGAGAGATGAGTGAGGAGTAAGAGTTGGTGGTCAGATTCCCACTGGAAAAGAGGAATGGGACCTAGAGGGAAAGAAAACTTTGGCTCCTGCCTCTCTGCAGTGGAGTTTCCCAGTGGGGGAAGTAACCCAAATGTTTGTCACCGGGGCTGGCAGAGTTCCCCCCAAAGTCATCATGAGCTCACGGTTCATGCCAGGGTTTGCAGTGCCAAGTGTCGCAGCAGACCCTCAGCTGTGTCCTTTGCTCAGGAGAAACTCCCAAACAAAGCCAGGAGGGAGAAAGGAAAATTTAATCAACAGAATTCATGAGGAATTTTTGTTACTCCTCCCATAGCAGTAGCAGAACCTGAATCTTTAGCATGAGAGTAGAGAACAAGTTTAAGGTGCTTCTTAAAAATTACTCCAGGGAGATCTTTAAGCCTAGAAAACACCGAGAGGTTCCCCTGGGTCTAACGTGAGCACTTGTGAGGGGTTCTGCAGGCTCTGCTAACCTGAGGTTGCTCTCGTCCCCCCCAGCTCCTGGGTGACATCCTGATCATCGTCCTGGCTGCCCACTTCAGCAAGGATTTCACTCCCGAAGCCCAGGCTGCCTGGCAGAAGCTGGTCCGTGCAGTGGCCCACGCCCTGGCCCGCAAGTACCACTAGAGAGGCAGCGGGACAGCCCCCGCAGCCCCCCGAGGCAGCGGGACACCCCCGGCAGCCCCTCCGGCTGCGCCACGCGCGCTGGAGATGAAGCTTCTAACAGCCAAATAAAACTCATCCTGTGAAGCCTCCACCGAGTCCGTGTGTCCTTGAGACGCTGGGGGGGCCGGGGGGGACAGGGACCTGGGGCACTCTCAGGGGCACTGGGGTGTAGGCTTGAGTGGGGTGGGCATTTTCCTACCAAAAAGGACCACCTCTTTTGGTTCTGTGTGTTTTTTTGGGAAGGGGGTTTTGTGGGATTTGCCTCTGGAAATCATATCAGGTATATCCAGCCCTGTGGTCACGCACCAGGGTGGCTATTTTACCATGGAACCCACGTGCTTTCGTGTAGGCGAAGGGAGGATTCATATTTTTTAGGGAGGATAAACAAAGTGAAGACTTTTAATCTACCCAGGCTGATTCCTGGCATCAAGCCTCCAAGAAATGAGCTGACTCATGCTGGCCGAGCTGGGTGGGGGGAGGTTTTAGATAAACATTTTGCTATCAAGACCTGTCCAGACTTTGTTTGTGCATTTCTTTTCCACCCTGTGCCGCCCATTCTGCAACTGGGGGGGGGGGGGGGCAGAATCTGTAA